AGTCTCACTCAACAATCTCTATTTTAGACCTTCTGTACAGCAATATTAAATTTATGCCCACAAGGTTTCAGATTTGCCCATACTTAGTAAACTTTTTTAATTCACGAAAGGAAATAATATGTTTTTCGCTTTCTTCTTTATCTTTATTGAAAAGCAGCCCGGAAAACACTACGCTTACATTTTAGCTCACAATTCCATTGCAGAACCTTGTGTGTCAGACACAACTCAGTAAACTGTCAGAACATCAGGGAAAATCTATTTAAAACTTCTCAAAGTAACACTGCATACGTATTTAGGCACAGAATAAACATAAGGTGGCAGATTTTTCCCTAACGCTGGGCAACACAAACAGGGCACAAAAACAAGGAGATTGCCATGATGTATTCATTCACAAATAGCAAGGGACAGTGTCCTGGTTTCAGCAGGGATGGTGAGGCACTGGAACAGGTTGCCCAAAGAGGCTGTGGATGCCCCATCCCTGCAGGCATTCAAGGCCAGGCTGGATGTGGCTCTGGGCAGCCTGGTCTGCTGGTTGTCGACCTGCACATAGCAGGGGGTTGGGACTGGATGAGCATTGTGGTCCTTTTCAACCCAGGCCATTCTATGACTCTATGATTCTATGATTCTATGATAGATGTACACTGCTATAAAACACCAAATTCAGCACTAGAAATGAACTAAACAGGTCCTAATGGGACGTATCATCTCGGTTCAATAACTCTTGTGAAATAAACTCTCTGTAAGAATGAAAGATATGCTATTCTTCATGCACACAAGTTCCGTTGAGGTGGAATCCAATCTGCCTGAATCCTGTGAAAAATATGTGTTACTTCCAGAGCCAGGGGACAGATGGGAAGAGCAAAGCAGTTCCCATCAAATGCGTGACCATGTTGTGCATAAATTAATGAAAAGAGATGTGTCTCTGAAGGAAGAGAAAGGGATCTCTGTTGTCAAACTTCAGTATGTCCTCCAGGAAGTTTAGAAAAAAATGACCTATCTCTGTTCAGCCTGGGGAAAATTCAAACATCACAGTTTTCTTCCTCTGTTTATATGGAACTCTGTGTATTTCAGCTTGTGTCTTTTGCCTCTTGTCCCTCCACAGGGAACCAGTGAGTGTCTCGCTGTTCCTTCTCTACTCCCTCCTATCAGTTCTGTACACACATTGAGACCCTCCTGAGCACCACGTTCTAACCCAACTTAGCCTAGGCACAGCCATCCCTTCACTCAGAAACGACACATCTAACAACAGCAAAGCAAATAAAACTGCAATCTTACTGATTAATATGAATACAAAGCTAATACAAAACAAAGAGGATGAGAGTAGAATCCTACCCTATAAAGACAGGCTGAGGGAGCTGCCTGGAGAAGAGAAGGCTGCAGGGAGACCTCATTGCAGCTTTTCAGTATCTAAAGGAAGCCTACAAACAGGAGGGGAGTCAACTCTTTGAAAGGTAGATAATGATAGGACAAGGGGAAATGGTTTTAAGTTGAAAGAGGGAAGATTAAGGTTGGATGTCAGGGGAAAGTTCTTTACTATGAGAGTGGTGAGGTGCTGGAACAGCTGCCTAGAGAGGCTGTGGATGCCCTGTCTATCCCTGGAGGTGCTGAAGACCAGGGCTGGATGGGGCAGCGTGGTCTAGTATAAAATGTAGAGGTTGGTGGCCCTGTATGTGGCAGGGGGTTGGAGCTTCATGATCCTTGAGGTCCCTTCCAACTCAACCACTCTGTGATTCTATGATATACAAACAGGAAAATACTGAGTAGGAACAGGACTGCAGTTGACACTATCACTAATAAAATCCTGTGTCACTACTGATAGCGACACGTCAAGGAGTATGATAACTAAGTGATGACAGTTTAAGAAAAAAAAAAACAAGAACAAGTGAAGGACTGAAAAACATGCTTTCTGTTGACAGAATAAAACAGTTCACTTCGTTTGCTTTATGTCTGTCTTTGCTTCTTTAAAAAGAGGTTAATGCGCATCTAAATATATTTCATGGAAAGCTGAAAACACATACTGTCACACTTTTCACCTTGATTAAAAAAAAACCTGTAACAAGTGGTAATGGCTGAAAGTTCAAACGCGGCAAAGTGATTCAAAATAGACAGTATTTTAATGGAGGAAGTTATGAAATATTGGAAAAAATTGTGAAATTTTGCAGGGGGCTCTCTGTCAAAGGGCATTTTTAATCAGTGTTTTCTCTAAAGAGAACAAGCTGATTCAAGCAAGAATTAATTCATGGAAATGTTGTGCGCTTTTTTTATACGGAAGGTCAGAGAGAAATTCGCAATGACCTCCTCCAGTTTGCAATGATTACTCTATTAATCTACAAATATATATATATACACACATATATATGAGTTTTAATAGCTCTAAATAATTATAAGACTGTCTACTCATGAGTTTTACCTTTACTGCTTCAGAAAAGTTAACTCAGTACAGATGTGCACACTGTTGAGCCACGCTATTTCCTGGCACTGCTCATTGGAATCAGTGGCACAAACTATTCCTTCTAATTAACAATATTCTGCTATCTCAACTGAGGAAAAACAACTAAGACCATGTACGTATATATATACATATATATATATATATAAATATATACAAATAATGCCTCACACAGCTGGTTTCCTCTCCATGATTGGGGCTCCTTGAATAGTGCTCCTACCACTATCATAAATAAACAGCCAATTAAATAGTGTAAGCAATATATATTCACACACTCACAAAAACAGCAAGATTTCAGCAATATTGCAACTAAAATTAATTCTGACAACTAGAATTCTACTGGAAAGGTAAAAAGCAACAGACAGCATGTGATTTTACTACAGGACATGATACTGCATTACATGATTATATAGAGATCATATGAAAGAATTCTCGAATATGAATGCAGCAGCTCTACTGCAAGGAAATTAACACATCACTCCCAGATTCTGGAAGTTGTTGAAAATCAGACAGATCTAACCAAATTACAGAAAGAGTAAGTGAAGCTTACTAGTTCCTGCAACGTATTCAACTCACAGCAAGGTATTTCACCCAACTTTCCCCGACTTCTGCAGACTGAGCCCTTTGAATCACAACCAACCACACACAGTCACATATTCCTATGGTCAGCATGTTACAAAGAAAAAGAAATGCAATGTAGCTCTCTTCAAGGCTAGATTAAATGTGACTTCAAAGATGTGCAGCTGGGTGCAATACAATTAACATAGTGCAGGAGGCTGCCCATGGAAGAATCACAGAATCATAGAATGCTTTGGGTTGGAAGGGACCTTTATAAGATCATCTAGTTCCAACCACTGCTATAGGCAGGGACACCTCCTGCTAGACCAGCATCCCTCCAGACCAGAAAGAAAAACCTCATCTGGTGAAAACTCAACCCAGGATAAATCATGCTTGACCAGACAGGTTGCCTTTTACAATTAAAGGACTGGCTATGCAGATTAGGGCAAAGCAGCAAATAACGTGTTGACTTTAGCAGGGCTTCTGACACCATCTTTTACAGTATAAGCAGTTGAAAGCTGTGAAAGCACAGGCTGAAAGAAGAGTCCGCTTGACACTAAATGCATCAAAAACTGGCAGGATCACCAAAATCAAAAAGCAGTGATCAATAACTTGATGTCTTGTGTGCAGCAGGTTACCCCAGGGGCTCGTGCTGGGGCCAATATCATTCAATATCTTAAACAAGAACATGAGTGATGTGACAGAAAACATGCTCAGCAATTCTGAGAATGATGCTAAATTGAAGATGAGAGTGGACATGTCAAACAGCAGACCTTCAGTACAAGGAGACCTTGAAAGATTTCAGGCCTGTGCCAACAGAAACTTCATGAAGGTCAACAAGGAGAAGCACAGACTCTGCACTGCTACAAGATAAACTCTGCCCTGCTGAAAAGGATCTGGGATTGTATTGGGTATCAGGTTATAAAGAAAATAGTAATATTCACTCATTGCAAATAAAGCAAACGGTGCAGCAGGCTGGGTTATGAGGTGCAGTGATCTGTAATGTCAATGGCCAAGATGGTCAGCAGCCTACAGCACACGTTTCTGCAGGTGGAGGGAGAATTAAGGGTCAATCTTACAGTAGCTGAATAGGGTGTGAGAATGACAACTAAACAAACCCCTCTCAGCAGCACCAGGCAGTACTGGAAAGGGAAGCGGCCACTAACAGTGCCTTAAGAGGCTCACACTGGGTATTTCTAACCTAAACCTGCCCCCAGTTTAAAACCATCCCCCCTTGTCCTATCACTATCCACCCTCATTAACAGCCATTCCCCCTCTTGTTTATAAGCTCACTTCACAATACCAGATTATCCCTCAGTGCCACATCCCCACAGCTCTGCAGCACCTCCAGGGATGGTGATCCCACCAGGACAGACCATCCCAGGGCATGGGCACTCCTTCTGAGGAGAAATGTTTCCTGACATCCAACCTGAACCTGAACAACAAGGCGGTTGGACTAGATGATCTTATAGGTTGTTTCCAACCCTGTGATTCTATGATTCTATGATTCTATGATTCTAAACACACATCGGGGCGTTTTGGTTCTGCTCTAATTGCTACTGAAAGGCGATGGCGGTCATTTTGCAATGCTGTCCTTGCTAGGCTGCCCTGACAGAAGGCAGGATTAATTGCTTAATTCAAGGTTGCTACATTATGTACTTAAAAGCTCACATTTACTCCAACTGAAGGGAGAAATAGTCTCTGAAAGGACTGCTTTCCCTAAGAACTTCCCATACACTTGGGTTAGATCCTTCACGCTACACTTAGGTGATATTATTACCCCTTTTACAGAGAACTCTGGATTCACACAGCGCCGACCCCGCCGCCATCTTCCCCCTCCCGCCCACCGCGCTGCGCCCCACCCCGCCTGCGCCACCGCCCCCGTGCGCATGCGCGGCGGCGGAGGCGGGTAGAGCGCGGCCGCCGTGGGGCCCGGGGTTCGTTCTCCTCAGGGGCGGGCGAGGGGGAGGGGGGCGGCCGGTCGGGTCCCTACCTGCCACCGGGACGCTCTGGCTCCTTCCGGGGAGCGCCTCTTCCTTACGCGGCAGCCTGGAGGCCGATTCGCCCATCCTGAAGGTGGAGCTGCAGAGCCGGAGGAGGCGCCGCGGCGCCGTTAGCATCGCCCTCTGAGGGCGGGGAAGGGAGGCGAAGGGTGAGCGGCGCGCGGCGGCCGTTGGGACCGGCGGGCGGCGGGCCGGGGGGGCGGGAGGGCGGCGAGGTGCGAGGCACGCCCCCTGGCGAGCGGCGCTGCGTGCCCTGCGCTGCGCCCTGACGGCCCTTCGCTGTGCGTGTATCGGCGGTGCTTCGCCGCCCGAAACCAGGGCTGCCCTCAGCTCAGCCTGCGGAATTTCGTCTCTCGGAGCTCTGAGAGCCCGTGTGCTTCTTGCTCCCTCGTACGCAGTTGTTTTCTTTTCATCGTAGGATGGTTTGAGTTGGAAGGGAGCCTTCAAGGCCGTCTGTCCCATTCCCTGCACTGAACGGGGACAGCCGCAGCTCCATCAGTGCTCACAGCCCATCCAGCCTGACCTTGGCAGGGATGGGGCACCGCTCTGTGCAACTGTGCCACTGCCTCACCACCCTTAAGTAATAAGTTTCTTCCTTAAATCCAGTTTAAATCTCCCTTTTTTCAGTTTGGAACCATTTCCCCTTGTCCTGTCACACCAGACACTACTCCAAGGCTGTCCCTCTCTTTCTTACCCCTTACCCTGCTTACTACTTCCAATGCAGCCCAGGATACAATTGGCTTTCTGGGCTTCATGTCCAGCTTGCCATCCACCAGTACAGCTCAGAGGGATTTTTATCTGCATGACCCTCTCACAACACATCAACCCTCTGGCTTTCTGTCTAAACCCCCAGTTGGGTATGAGAAGGTTGAGAGGGGCATAGGCATTTATCAAGATGTGCTACTCATGTTCTTTGTACGGTAATATGTTTTATAATGCTTTTTTTTTTTTTTCCCCCTAGACTCCAGTGATCTTTGCAGCAGTCCACTATGTCATGTTTAGCCAACGCAACAGGACGAGGGGAAATGGCTTTAGACTGGAAGAGGGTAGATTTAGAGAAGATATTAGGAAGAAATTCTTTTCTTCACCGTCTGTGAGGGTGGTGAGACTCTGAACAGGTTGCCCAGTGAGGCTGTGGATGCCCCTCCTTGGAAGTACTCAAGGTCAGGCTGGATGGGGTTGTGAGCAGCCTGGTCTGGAGAAAGGTGTCCCTGCCTATAGCAGGGGGTTGGAATTGGATGATGTTAGAGGTCCCTTCCAACCCAAACCATTCTGTGATTCTATGATGATTGGACAATTTATGTTTATGGTCTTTTCCAATCTATATGATTCTATGCCAATCTTGCATGATTTCATGTTGTTTTTTTTTATGTGTATATAGAATATGTGCTAAGTAACAAATCTTCCAATACCAGTGTCTATGTGTATGTTTGCAATAAAAACGCAGGAACAAGAAGTGAATGGAGTATAAAAACTTGCAGAAAATACCCATCATCTTTTAGGGAGTAATACACATAATGCACATTTTATATGCAACAACAAGCAGTACATTTCCTAAGGTGCAAGACACAGAAGCTGGAGCACTGGTGTTTTGTTTTTCAGAGAATTGTTTGTAAAGTCATGGTCAGGAGAAGGGAAGTTTGTACAAAAACTGCTGACTGCAAAGAAACTTTGTGAACTAGACAGATGCCTTGCACTGTGAATTTCAGAATAAGGGAAAAGATAATGCACAAATGTGAAGCAAAGACATTATAGGAAGGAAATGAGAGTGATTCAATGCAAAATTCATATGGAGGGTTGTAAAGAAGTTGGATTGTTGCCTGAATAGAAAAGAATATGATAAAATGACAGTCTAGTCTAAGACAGGGGGCCGGATAATTCCCTCAAAAATGTACTGTGTCAAAAAAATGAAGTGCCATTCACCTCCCAGTCAAACGAAAATGTGATGCTCTTGAGACACAGAATTTATTCAGCTTTATAGAGATGTTGGATGTGGATATTTACAGCAATGCTGAGAATTCCTAGATGCTCCCAAAAGAATCTGGAGGAGCAGGAAATCCATGTTGCAGGAGCCAGGCTTCCCATAAAATTCATATCTCAGATGGGGACCTGAGAAGTGAGCTGTCCCATCTCTATCTTCAGATTCACTGTTCTTCACAGAATAACAGAATTGTAGGGGTTGGAAGGGAGTTCTGAAAATCGTCTAGTCCAATTTATGGCAGGTTTCCTGGAGTTCCTGTACGTGAAACAATATCCTCTTTGAGCACAGGTAGTTCCATGCTTGCAGTCTGTTTGAAGTTTTCTATATATTTCTATTCAGTTAGAATCATTGAGAAATAGGACCTCAGGTGAGGTCCTATCTGCAATAGCTTAAAGGAAATCCATTAAAGAAGTAAACATAGAGATGCGTATGATGGATAACTGCAATATTTCAATGGTGTCCATTTCAAAGAATTGGAAATGTTTGGTGAAAAACTGAATTCCATTTAAAACATATTCTCCTATTTATAGCATCACCTATACTGATGATTCCCAGCTCTTAGAAGCCACTAAAAAAGGTGACATCCACTGGACTGGTAGCAAATAATTCTCTTCCTCCACTTTTTTCCATTTCTCCATATATTTCTGTACTCACTTCACTCTCTGCCAAGGACGTGCATCTAAAAAAAATTGAATGGTTAATGTTACGATGGACAGCAGTGCAGTTTTTACTGTGAGAGTTGATGTGTCTGTCGATGAAACTGTGAATGCCCAACCTGAATCTTTTACTGTGAGCACTCCTGCTGCCTCGTTGTGAGTGGTTCCATTTTCATTGCCATCTTCCTTTCATGAATCGAGGTCAATCAGAGGTGAAGGACAGAAAAACAGACTTCTGTTTGGGCAATTCAGTCTGCAGATGAAGTGGCTGAGACCTTTCAGGGCCCTTACGCTCTCTGAAAAGCCAGCATCCCCTCTACTCAATGTTCCCAGTGGCCTTCCATGCTGTATATGCTGCCTGCATGTATTTAAATTATGTCTCTTAAATCAGAGGTGTTCTTTGTTACAGGAAAAACTGCTTTGTCACCCATTGCATTCAGCTGCTTCATTTGTGAAGCTGACAGCAGCAGAGCAGGGCGCTAAAGGATTGACACTGAGACTCCAAAACAGTGGTTAGAGCAGTGACAGATAGCAGGGCTGCTGAAGCATTTCGATTACAGCTATTAAGGGCAGGAAACAGTCTTTCATTCTGTGTTTGTATGGCACTTCATACACTGTGTTCCTGCTTCAGAGCTGGATCCTAAGAATTAAATAGTAATAAGCCATGATGCCACTTAACAAATAAAAACTGCTGGTTTACACAAGTGCTTAGTGCTTCTTCACTCAGTGGAAACAAAATACTTTTTTAATTTGTTAAATCTCCTTTATATTTCAGGAAAATGTGAACTATCCCTTTTTCTCATTCTAGAGGCTGAGATGGAAGAGTCTAAAAATTACACCGTAAATTTTTAAAGTTTTCGTACCAAGAATTTGCCTGTCCAAGCAAGCAGCAGAACCCAATTATCTTTGTGTTGATAATATACTGAGCTTCATGTTGAAACGTGGACTTCATATCTGCCAACACATGAATTGAATTAAGAAGTACAGCAAAAAAAGAAAAAAATCACATTGAAGTGCCTGCCTGTTGCTTGGATTCCCATTTAATAATCATGGTATTCCTAGTGCAACCATTTTACAGTGTGTGCTGAAGACCATCAGGAAATCAGTGTGAAGAAGAAGAAGGGTGCAAAGGAGAAAACAGGAAGAAAAGGGATGTGAACTTACCTCTGTCTTTCCAGGCAGAGCTATACACAGATTCCCAATCATTCCATTTTTTAGGAACGGGTCAAAATACAGTTGACATTTACTGTATATAGTCCTTGCTTTTAGAGCAGGATTTGCTCACCTTTTTGGATAATTGTTTTTCCAGTGTAGCAAAATTTGCTGTGTTTTGCAACCAGTAAAGCCCTTGTGACAATCCTCCCCCTACCCCAACCCAGCCCTGCTGCTGACTATCTGTTGGTAATAATACTGATTGTACAGCCAGGTTTCTGTTGCAGTGTGCATCTTCTGGAAGAGCACTGTTTCGGTTTTTGTTTTTTGATTTTAAAACGTGGCAATAGAGGATCCTCCGCAGGCTTTGGTGGTTTATTCAGTGTTAATTGCTGTTAGAAACAGCACTTTATTTTTAGTTCAACTTCCTTTGAATCATAGCTTATCTTTCCTTGCATGAAGAGATTTCTTGTTTTCTAATTCTGCAAGTATTGTCATTGCCCTTCTTTGAACCCTCTCCAGGTTTTTAGTTGACATATTTCCTTATTTAATTATTTATTTCATTGCCTAATCTGATGAAGATATGAATAATTAGTGCAGCATTCTGGTACTGGTCACAACAAAGCAAGTACAGATCTAATACAGTTTCCTGATTCCTGCTTGGTTTTGTGTTCATCTGTCCAAGGGCAGTCAGCATTAGCCTTGCAGCCCTGGAGGTATGCTACTGGCCAAGATCTCTTCAGGAATTTATTACCAATGTATGGAAATACATGGATTATGGCAAATATATAGGAAACTATGTTCTATGTCTTTCCTTGGCCTCCTTTAAATTAATAGGATAGTCTTCTACCAATTTCTAATAGTCTTTGTTACTACCACTTCTGCAGTTTTTGGGTCAGCTTCTAGCAGTTGGAAATTACTGTCTATATTCCTCTATAATTGTTAGAAATGTCAAATAGTGGAGCTCAGAACTGATGCCTACATGACACTGCTGTAAACATGCCAACCCTGTGAAGACTGTCTCACCGCAGTCAGATTTTGTGACTAATTAGGTAACGAGATCTCTGAAAATGAACATATTTTCATCAGGACAAACCTGCTGCTTCCCCACTTTTAGCAAAGAGACATGAACTGCTTCTCAGGAGATTTTTCAATCAAGGGAGCTAGAGATTTTAAGTACCACAATTCTTTTTGGAAGTAACAGACATGAATTCCTGTATCAGCAGCTGTATCTGTTACCCAGAAGGACAGTGAAGATGATAATACAGTAAAGCAATCTGCATGAAACGCTTTCTAGAGAGAGGGGGGAAGATTAATCAGTCATTCACGTGCCTTCCATTTGTGATCTAGATGAGAGTTTGGATACAGATTAAGCTACATAAATTACACTAAAAATGGAACTGACGTGGAAGAGCCATCAGCATTGTACCTCAGAGTAGTGCGGTGATTTGGGATTTACAGAAGAGCATAAAAAACAAGGGACAATTTAATAGAGTACTGTGCATGCCAGAGAGAAGGCAAAAATGCAGGATACCAGCAGTGTGCTTATACAGGTTGTTCTTTGCTTTTTCCATTTCATCATAGCAATTATGTAAAAAAGCTAATGAAGCAAGTCTGCTATCTGCAAGTTTTCCTTCCTATCAGTGCGCATAAGCCTCGATTTTCTCTTTCAGTGAAGGTTCAGGATGCATCTTTACAGCTGACCCCAATATGTTCAAATAAGCCAGGGTGATGCAGGGAAGCATTCTGGGGTCTGTCCATCAATGTTTCTACGTGAATCAGCCTTAGAGCTCTCCCAATAACCAGGAGTTAGCAGCTGGCCAGTTTACAGATGTCTTCTTGGGTGGTGTGGCTTCTCTCAGCTCTATAAATGTGCTGGGCTTAAAAGCAGTTACCAGCAGCTGAGGCTCAGCCCTGGGGTTTTTTTAATCATAATTTCCAGCTGTGGTACAGAGTACTCTGTAGGTCAATTCTAGTTTCTAGTCTGAGAGGACAAATTACTCAGCACGTTCAGTGGCCAGTGCTGCACACATCGGTTTAGATTTCAATATGGATTTCACCAGAAACCGTTGTGATAATGGCCCTTCCCTTGGTGAAATTATATTGTTGATGCATTTTTCAGTGAATATCCTCTGCATCTGTCACTTCGGAGTTTCTGTGTTTCTGTCCCCTTCAGTGCTAGTTATGCAGAATGGTCTTCATGGATAGAAATAAAGTGGGGCAGATGAGAACAGAAAAAAAAAACTTTGGGTGCATCTGATATCATCCAACCTTAGATCTGGCATCTCATCCAA